CATTACCTAGCCCTTTTGAAGTCATGAATGAACCGAATGGGGCATGATGGACTTAAGGCACAGACTGTTTCCTATTTGTTGACCTACATTTCTTGTCTAAGGATAAAATTAAGGGAGAAATAACATTTTTGAGCATTTTATGATGGGCAGATTTTTTGCTTATGTCCTGATATTTATCCCTTGCAATCCTTTGAGATTCATATTATCTATGGGTGTACAAAGAGAGAAATCAGGGCTCAGAACTATTTGGGAATTTCCCAAAGTGCACACCTCTAGAGAGCGGCAGGTGGCACGGGGTACTTGAGCTCCGGTCTTCCTGCTCCTGCGTGGAGAAGAAGCAGTCATTACTGTAGGAATGGTAATATCAGCAAGAGCTCCCATGCACCGAGTCCTCAACGTGCGCAGAGCCTACGTCTGTGTCGGATCATTTAATCCCTGTAACAGCACCGCAAGCACCGTGGTCCTCGTTTTACCCAAGAGGAAACAGTCTCGAAAAGGTTAAATTATTCGTCCGGTCACACGGCTATTCAGTGAAGACCTGTTTCCATCTGACCCTAACATTCCTCTGCATACTTGTTTGTCAAGATTAGAGATGTTTCCCCGATCCCAAGAACATGAGGCATGGTGGATGTAAATAGCTTTTCCCCAACGTTATTGAATATACAGCTGCCTCCCAGCACTCCTCTTGAGCTGGAAGACGGAATGTTTATTTAATTTTTATTCCCTGTCGGCCTTGGGAGGGGAGGCCAGACCTGCCCGCCATTTCCATGAGCTTATCCATTTCTGTAAAGTACTTTCTCACCCATGTAGCAACTTCTCCCGCCAAGACCCATCGCCAAACCCAGAAGCAGCCAAGGAGACCTCTGAGCATGACCAGAATTAAATATCACAAGTTGTTGAATTTACTCCTTCGCTGTATCTGGAGAAGAGCCCCTCTGATCTTCGCACAAACGGGCTCGCTTTAATTTTCCATGTAATTCTAACAGCCTCTGTGTTCCGCCGGGTCTGCGGCAACATCATAATGGAAGAGGGCCCACCGCAGGTTGGTGTAGTAACCCCAGAGAGGCGAGCGGAGATCATCGTAATGAAACAAAACAGAAGCAGAAATGAAAGCCCAGCACACCGCCCGATGGAACACCTCGCATAGACTCCATGGTCATATTACAGCAGAGTCTAATCAATGACTTTTTCACTAGGGTCACGCTGAACATTTATGAAAAATTAATACGATGTCATGTTTGGAGTACATTCAATTTAGGAGAGTAGTGATGATGTGTGCAGGGTTTGGGGTTTTATATATTTATTTTTTTTTTAGAAAAAAAATGCATTCATGCTTTATCTCTCCTTCAAATCTAGCTGTCCAAGAAAGATTGCCCAAGGCCCTGCGTGTTACTGGTCTTTGTACACCCGAAGCACAGTACCTGGCGCACAGTGCGTGCTCGCTAACGTTAGATGATGAAATGCCAACGACTTGTTTCCTGAGGGTTCTGGAGAGCCTGTTTTCCTGTGGCCTCTCTGCTGCATTCCTGTTTATTCTGTGTTTAGACATGATTCAGGGCAAGGATACACCCAGCCTCGCCTCAGAAACAAAATCCTGCCACGCATGGTAGCTGCCATGTCCCTCATTCCCGTCGTCCTCATCAAGACTGACTGACATTGCCCTCTGGAGAGGGTGTAAAGTAGAAGCTGGGGCCTGATTTTCCTGGGACGCGTTTGACCGCGATAGCTAGCATCAGGCCGGGGAGCTGTTGAACCAGCTCTTAGCAAAACAAGCCAGGGCTCCCGGAATTCTCTGTGGGTTTAGATGCTTCCCCCCCGCCCCGCCCCAGCGGGATAAAATCAGTGTGGCTGGGGATGGGAGCTCGCTGCCTTGCAGAACCTGTGCAGGCACACGGGGGATCTGGCACCCAGGGCTCCCCGCAGTCAGGGGCACGGCGCTTGGCGCATCTGCTCCAAGCACCTGGCCCGCATTCCCAGCTCAGGGGCTGCTGGTTTTCCAGGTCACTGCCATTTGGAAAAGGCAGCCTCACTGACCTGTGAAATGAGTGCAGTGCCCGTATAGAAAGCCCTGTCCCCCTCTCCCCAGCAGCCACTGAACACTTCTGCGGAAGGGGTGGGGGCAAAGCTCTCCGAGCGCCTGAGGGAATTCTAGTCTTCACTCCTGATGGAATTAGCAGGAGTCATCCATAAATCCCCGAGGCATCCATCATCTATCGGCAGACAGAGCCAGGCTGCCTTTTTTTTAAAGAAGTTCACTGACCTTTTGTTAACTTAACTCCTTGTTAGGAACTATCTCATCAGCTGTATGCTCCCACGACCAGGGGCGGGGGGGGGGGGGGGGGCAGGAGCAGGAGCGGGGCTGGCTGTGGGCTGGGGTTTCCAGCTGTGTGCTGCCTGGTACCTGAGCTGTCTTCTTTTCCTCTTTCAGCTGTCTTTCAGATCATTCAGAGCATAAGGATGGGCATGTGAGGAGGCCCGGGGCTTTGACGCTGCCCCTCCTTCTGGAGGGCGGAGGACCACTTAAGCTTTTAGCCGGGTATCTGTGGGAAGCAAACAAGCCACACAGAATAGAAAAAAAGGTTCCCTCAATTGTTCTCTGATCACTTCATCGTGGATGTCAGACCAAATTGCCTTCTCACAGGACATCTTGGTACATCCGTGTTCTGGAGCGGAAAGGACATTTTGCTTTTCTGTTGGCGGGATTGGTAGCTCCCAGGTGTCTGCAGCAGCGGGCTGTCTGGTTTTGCCCTTGGTTTCACTGATGTATGCATGTGGCCCTCTGAATGATCACCAGTTTACTTTCCATGGATTCAGCCTCTCCTCCATTGGGAATTGGTTTTACAAATAAATGTCTTTGTTCAACCTTATACCATGTGTGGACTACCGTGAGAAAACTGCAGTGAAGAAAATGCCAGAATAGCTCCAGGTGGGATTGCCGGGGCCCGGGGGGGGGGGGGGGGGGGGGGCACTGGGCTAGACGATTGGGGCAGGGTCAGGAATCTGTGGCTGGGGAACCAGAGCTAGATTTACCTTCAAGCTCTTTGCCCACAATGAAGCCCTGGGCGGCTCTAATGACCTTGGATTTTCCACCCATGTTACTTTTTAAATTTTTTGGTCTTTTGACGTTTTGTTGTTCTTTTTTTCAGTGCAGAAAAGGCACCTACAAAGTGTGTTAAGTTTCGATTAGCTGTTACCCCTTCTTTGTCTGCCTGAGGACTTGGTGGGGAGCAGATGTCTGAGGCCTCTTTATGAAAACCAGGCAACCTCAGGGCCCAGCCCTGCCCTAATAAAGAGCACAGGAGGGCGGGAGTTCCACCTCACTCTGGGTGGTCAGCCCCCGGGCTGGTGGGTGCAAACCTCCCCTCCCTGGCCAGCCTCCCCATCAGCCTCTCCAAGTGTGGTCGGCCTCTAACTGGCATCCCAGCATGGGGAGCGGGGTGGGGGGACGGAGAACGCATCTCAAAATGCAGACTCTGGGGTTCCACCTCAAGCCTACTAAATTTGAAGTGCTACAGGCGGAGTTAAGACTAATGCTTTGTACAAGCTCCCTGGGTGAGGCTTATGCACTCAAAATTTTGAGGACCACGATCCTAAGAAAGCCCAGCTGTAGAGGCAGTGAGTTTTGTCCCCTTCCAAGCAGCAAAGGCAGCCAAAGCTTGCTCTCAAGCAAAATGATCCTGGCGGGGTGGGTGGTGGAGGAAGGGGCTGGTCGGCCGGCCCTTTCTGTTCCCGCTTCTGATGGGGCCTAAGGAAGTCCTAGGGGCAGCCACAGAGATCAGCAACGGGATTAAAGATGTACACCGTGCAACTTGAAACAGGCCTCGGTTGCATTTTAAAATTCCATCTCTGCATTCTTGGCAGTGTTTTTCATTCCTGAATATTGTGAGAGCTTTAAGCACAGAAGTGGCAGCAGTGGCCAGGACCTCTCTCAACTATTCGGGGGTTTTGCTGTAAACAGCACACTTGGAAATGGGGAGTGGTGGTGAGTGGTAGGGGGGCTTTGGGTCCCCTGGAGTCTTTCACCCCAGATCCTTCAGTGATGTTCTTTAAGGCCTGCTTTTCTCCTATTCTCCTCCCTCGCTCTTCCCCCTGAGAAGAGGGTAGCAGGCTTGCTCCAAAATTAGCAGCCCTAGGGACAGCCCCCCACACTTGTGCTCCCCCACCGCCGCCCCCCCAAGCCCCTCCCAAGCCGGCAGAAGGCACCTGCCACCATGAGGGCTGCACACGAGATGCCCTGTGAGCTGGTCTCCTCATCCTGTTGGCTCCTCTGCCTCTTCTCTTCTAGGTCACTAAGACCAGTGTACTGTGAAAGATAACACCTCAGGGCTCCTGCCAAGAGGCCGGAAGAAGAAAGGCCACTTGACATCAGGTTTACCTCGTCTGCTCTCGCACATGCCCTCTCTAGCGGGAAAGGCCATGGCTGGGCCAACACTTTGGGGCTCCTCCTTTATTGGATAGAGTCTTCCCCCAACACGAATTTGGTCTTTCCCACAATAGTAGTAGTCAATGGGGGTGATTAGGGAAACTGAAATTTGGCCAGATTGGGTTCCAGATAAACCCAGTGGTCCCCAGGTGACAGGTGTTGGGTAAAACTTCCTGACACTGATTTATCTCCCTAGGCTATGTGATCATGTACAAATTGGTTTTCTATTACTTCCCAAGTAGCCTCCCGGAAGTACTTGTGTATGACAGTCTGCCCTCCCCGGTGACTTCTTCTATCACTCTTCTGAAAGAGGAGACAGGGGCTGCCCCAAGTAAATTATAGAGTCATGGTTGATTTATGCTGTCCAGCAGAGACTTACAGACACTTTGTGCCATGACACATAGTAAGAAATACATGGCAACTGAAAGCACAACACACCCACCAAAACAAGTTTTCCAGAACCACACTTATCCCTAACATATGTCATGCACTCTTCCCGGCCCCCGGACCCTTGGACTACTTAATTTTTTTAATACTGGTTGCACCCTGCTCAACGGTTCTTATAACCCACAAATAGGTTCCAACCCACAGTTTGAAAACACTGCTCTTCGGGCGGAAAATCAAGCCCTTAGTGGGAGACAGATGAGCAAGTCTCACAAGGTAAGAAAGTTTACATCTCACTCTGCATTCTGGTGAGAGCCTGAGTCACACCAGTCACAGACCATCAGTACCTCCTGGCTGGCACATAAACACTTTCTCTGTGTCTTTCAGGTACATTGGCAGATCCCACAAAGAGAACACTAGCAACCCCTTGAATTCATTGAAATAATGTGAAATAAACACCACATTCCCTTTGTCAGCAATCACTTGCTATTTGTCACAATCACTTGGGGTGGGGATGGCTGTTTTTTCTTTTCTTTTTTTTTTTATTTTTATTATGTTCAGTTAGCCGGCATATAGTACACCATAAGTTTTTGTTGTAGTGTTCAACGGGATGGCTGTTTTTTTTCAAGCAGGAATCCACCCCGGGTCGGGGAGAATCAAAGTATCCAGGGAAGATAGGCATATGCATATGTATTGGTTTTTCGTGTTGGGATGATTCTGATGCTGCCCATCCACCCATTAGCATTTGGGAAACAGACTCACCGGTTTAAAAACTTTGACTTCGTTTAAGCCAAAGCAGGGACTCAGCAGTAGTACCCCCAAACCTAACTCTGCAGCAACTCTGCACGGGAGTTTCTCCCGCCGTCGTTTGAAGTATTTGGGGCTCTCTGCAGAGCCCCGCAGCAGTGAGACACGATGTCTTATTTGGCTCCAGGTCTTGTGTGTCCTTGTGTCTCAAGTAGATCACAGAGTGGGGTACAGGGTGCTTAATACTTGACTCCCAAAGCCCTGTAGGAGGGAAATGTGCATGGTGGGAAGGCTAAGGGCTTCCTCCAGGTCTCAACCTCCCAGGGCACTACTTAGAGATCAAACACTGTTTCTGGGAAAGCCAGTACACTGAAGAAAGAGCTCGCCGGTCCAGAAGAGAAGGAAGTGTGCACTCCTACATAGGCTGCTCTTTGCTAAAACACAATTCTCCTCCTCTGCAGACACAAGAACATTCTAGCTTAAGATCCGGTTGCTGCCATGCTGCGGTAACAACTGGAAAGCTCAGGCACTCAGCCGACAGGTGTTCACTTTTCTCTCACACAAGCCTGGCTGCAGCAGACTGGCTAAGCTTCCCTGCAGGGAGCATCTCCACAGTCCAGGTTACACCACCATCACTACCCAGGGTCACTGAGGTATAGTAGGGACAGCAGTCTTCGCTGCCCTGGCCCAGAGGTGCCCCTTCACTTCCACTCACCACGACATCGGCCCCTGCAAGTCCCATGGCCCAGCCCATCTGCAGGGAAGACTGGGAGATGTGGGGGTACATGTGGGTATTTGCGGAACTCTGTTTCGGCCGTAACACTTACTGTATCTTGAGCATGTTTTACGACTGTGAGACTCAGCGTTCTGTTGAGGGCAGTTTTCTAGCCATCACCTTTTCTTTTTCTAAATTTCTAAATCTCACTGCACTCCTAAGGCCTCGAGGGCCTGTCTGGGCCAGGCTCACAGACGGTGGCTCAGAGAAGGCTCACCGTGTGCCATGGGTAGTTGACCTTGGCATTTATGGCCCCAGCCAGGATGTTTGTAAGCACGAAAAGGGGTACTATTGATAATTATACCAGGACACCAAACATAAACGGTGACTGTCCTGGGCAGATCAGGACATATGGTCAGCCTGCGCATGGACTGATGCACAAACCCTTATCTCAAGAGACACTGGATTAAGTTGGAAAGTTTGCCGTTTCACAAACCCGTAACATAAGGCAGACTCTCCTAAGAAATTTAGAATTTAAACCATAAAAGTGATACAAGTAATTGACTTGCCTTGGCAGAGCTGTGAGAAAACCTTTTGGGACTACCAAGGATATCAATCTTCTCAATGCCCCAGTGTGAGTGGGGAGTCGAGTGGGATGGTGGCCAAAGTCAAGCTACGCCCTTACTGGCAGGGTCGGGGGAAGTGCTGGGAGGCAAGCTCTATCTTCGAAGTACCTGGAAAGTTTCAGCCTTGAATGTTCAAAATGCCATCGGTCAAAAGAGAGGCATCTATGGCGCCACTGACATCTTGAAAGTCCTCAGGATACAAACCTGTACACAAAGACTTCTGTTTTCTCTTACTTGGACAGATACAAATGTTAAATATTGCATTAGGGACACAAGGAGAACTGAGGAGAGCTGCAGAGAGCTCTGGAAGAAAAGCCCAAATAAATATTTGTTAAAATTGGCCACAAGATTTTTATAAGTAATCCATTTCTTCTTGGGGGAGGGTGAAAGGAGGTACAGAGATGAGAAGGGAAGTCTCTGCTACGAAGAAAAGCCCAGAAAGAAACAAGCATAGAGTCATCGCCCAAGTTTTACCGCAAAGCATTCTTAAGCATTTTACAATCTCCACACATACTTGGTTTTTTGAATCTCCCCAGAAGGTCGGTAGACTCGCAACAAGCACTTATGGAGGGCTTGCTGTGTACAGGTACTGCTCAGGGACTTGTTTATCTGCTCGTGGACTCCTCACAAAACGCCCCTCTGGTAGGTGTCATCATTATCCTTGACTCACTGAGGAAGAAACTGAGACTCAGAAGGTTGGAAAAATTTGCCAAAGAGGATGCTGCTGATGAACGGGGGAGCTGGGATTCAGACCCAGGCGGGCCGGCCCCAACGTCTGAGCTCTTTATCACGGTGCTGCCCTTCACAGGGGCCTGATCCTAACGAACAGAAAAAACTGGTTTTGTTTCTGTTTCGGGTTTATTTTCACTGCTATATATTACAGATATAGACCAGTGCCTGGAGCTCAATGATTGTTCATGAAATGAATGATCACGTTGAGTCGGCAAATAGTAGATCCTTGATGAATACGCACTCTCAGCAAGACTGGAGGGGTCGGGGGTAAATTTGAATTGTAGAAATGGCCCAGGACCAGAAGTCAGGCCCCCGGTCTCTTGCCCCGGCTTCTGCCCATCACTTTTTCTCTGGACCTTGATGTCCGCAGCCATACATTTGAAGATATCCTGCCCTCCCACATCACAGGGCTGTTGTGGGAAGCAAATGATAGGCTGTATGTGACATTGCTTTGAAAAAACTGTAAAATGTATACAAATTATATATGTATATAATTACATCTATGTATACAATTATGTATGTAATCCTTGCTGGCAACCATATAATAATATAATAATAATTGCTACTCAGGACAGGTGGGGACTGCATAGAAAAAAAAAAAAAAAGAAAGAAAGAAAGAAAGAAAAGAAAAAACAATTCACATTCAAAATCCTACCCCTACCAGGACCCTGTCTTAAAACAACAGACTCTCAGCGGCAAGAATGCCCAGACGGGAAAGTGTGGATGGGTTGACACAGTTCATCCCAGCTGATGGAGAGAATTCAAAGTTCATATACTACTTCAGTGCCACGGTTGGCTATATTACTGTTATTTATAGTCATTCCTGAAGACAGAGTTTTGGTGGGACTAAGAATTGTTCTGGGCTCTGGAACCATCGGTATCTGTTAAGAGCCTGGCCCACTGCGAGTTTCACTCTGATTACATGTTATCTCCAAATCTCCTCATATGTCATTCCCGAAGGGAATGGACCCAGGACATGCAGTCAACTCACACAGCACTGGAGAGTCAAAACCGATGGGGAGAAGGGGTTGGGGAGGAAAGAAAGAAAAGCAGGGGTGGGGGGAGAGGAGGAAGGAGGAAGAGGAGCACAGAGGGAGGGAGGGGACTCTCTGACACTTCAGTGATTCACTGTATCACCCACTCAGATTCCCTGGACACACGTTGCTTGGGCCAGGCCCCAGGTCCCCCCCACCCCGCCCCCACTACACCTCCCGCACTCACTCTTCACTCCAGAACCACCTCCCAGAGGGATGTGTTCTCAGGAGCGATGCTAGAAACTTGCCCACTTCTCAGATCTCTGTTCTTTCTATATGAGAAAAGGGCTTATTTCTCCTCTGTTTCTCATCTGACTTATTCTTTTGATAAGCATCTTCAGGCTGGACACAGGCTGGTGGTGGCAGAGGACAGTGAGAGCAGAATAAAGGTACACTTCTGGGGGTAAGGGCGCGACTAGGATTGTCAGGGAGTAAGACACGGGAAAAGGGCCCTGGTGTCCGTGGACTGGGTATGTCTTCGGAGCTCAGGACCAGCAGAGAGCAGGCGGCTAGGGGGCTGCTCACCGCTTCCTGGGCTCTCAGGCTCCCTTATTAAAGGCTTCACAACCACAGAGTCGCGTTGCAGGGTCCATGGCATCTGGCATCCTCGGCCCCCCCCCCTTTCACGCTGCTGCTGGGGGCACAGTCGAACTGTCCTTCTGAGGAAGTCAGAGTGGCTGCCAGGACACAGGATGACCTTCAATACGATGGTGGCACAAAAGGTATCTATCTGCATATTAGGCAGACATCCCCTAAACTGGTGTTGGCTCTCTCTTCCGGAAGGTATTTTGGGAAAATAAAAGAGGAGAGGTTGATGGCATTGTTCCATGCTCTGTAGATGGGAAAACTCCGGCTTTTTACGCAGTAGGAAAACGCTCCATTTGTTCCTGCCTAATACGGGGGAGGTCCCAGCTGGGTGTTTCTTTGCTGCAAACAGACAAAGGATGGGAAAGGAACAGGAGTGTTCAGTTCTGTGAATTAAGGTCATTCACTGTCAGAAGTCACCAAACCTGTCTTTCAAGGGACATCTCTCCAGCTCTCAGTCTCCCGGGCTGGCCTGCAGCCCTGAAGGGACTGGACTTAGCTACAAACCCTTTCAACCTGGGTGAAACCCTTAAGAGGTCGCTTCCCATTTCCAGGGGCTGTTACCTGAAATCATCACGTGTTTGTGTTGGAAAAGATTCCTGCTGCCTTCCACCCTGGCCCAGGCTGCCCAGGGGCCGAGGAGGGGGAAAGTTGCTGGTGTAATCACCCAGCTTGTGATTCGCTGCCATTTGCCACCGGGACAGGAGGAAGCCCGCACACAGCCTCCCCTGCACAGCAACGCCTCTGGCAGAGTGCCAGAGGACCAGCCATTAGAACAGTCTGGAAACTGAGGACTCGTGCCCTTCCCTAGTAAGCCACCTTGACAACACATCCCTAGTGGGTGTCGGGGTGCCTCTTGGTGCTTCTGTCTTTCTGTCTCAGTCTCTCACCAAGGAACAGTTCCTGCTAGTCTCTAACACGACTATTTATTCCCAGCCCTGGACTGGGGCGTTCAATAGCGTTGCCCCTGCGAGCTTCACGAGCCGAGCCCTGGGCTTGGCCTCCAGCGTCC